TATTGTATTTGTACTACATGCTTGTACATATTATTGAAGTTTTATTCTGGCCTGTGGAAAAACTTTTGTGCAAGCTGGATATCAGTGATTTGCTCTAATATGAAATGTGGGGTACTCTTCTCAAGGAGGAAAATGGCAGATTAATGTTGGGTTTGAGTCAACGTGTGATTTTGAAGTTCTAAAAGATTGAGTACTATGTGAGTGTCTTTATTTTTGTATGAGGTTACAATTTTCAAATCACAAGTTGTTTTTTTTTTTAATTTAGAAAAAAGAAAGCAGTATGCAGTTCAATAAATACTCCCCATACTCGAAGTTGCTGAGGTGGCATGGAAGCTGTGGAGGCATAATGAGTTTTTTGAGGAGATACACGGGATGGTCTTAATTGAGGGTATGGAGGCAGGGTGTGAGATTTTTATCTCTAAAATGGGCTGTTCCTGAATATCTGACTCCGAGTGACTCAGAGAATGGTCAAGAATGAAGATATGTCAATTCTGTTATCAGAATGTACAAGCTGAGCAAATGAAACCTGTTTTTTATGTCTACCCCTGCCAGCTGTGATCTCTGACAATCTTTCTGACCCTCGTCTGAAAGGAGATATGATGCCAGTCTGCCTTCTGATACCTAAATGAGAAAGAATAGCAATGAATTGGGGAAGAGGGTAGAAGTGAACTTGTGATATTTTGTCCTTCATGCCTCTAGGTCTGATTTGGCGTGTGAGGAACTGTGGGCCTAAAATTGCTGGAATTCAGCGGTCTTGCTTTAATAACTTTCATTTAAGTAGAGACTGTCAGCGTGTCTGTATACAACTATATAGAAAAGATCTCAAAGTTTATAACTCAAAGGTAATTGATAACTATTGATTTTCAAATTTGTGAATGGGGTATTTTCTGAAATAAGAGACCCAAGCCAATCTCAAAAAATGAGTGCTTATGGCTTTCTTCCATGAACGATTGAGATTAGTTTATATTAAAGTTTTCAGGTTATTTTTTCATAAAATAATACTCCTGTACAGCAGGGCTGATAAAAAATATTAATAGTCTTAAGGCACTATACCAATAGAAGATGTTTTGGTATTTGGGAGGATTTCGTATGCCTAGGCAGTGGGAGGTTACGGATACTAAGAACAAGGGTATAACCAATGTATATATGCGAAATACATACAGGCAGTCATGTTCTAGATGAAACAACATTTAGAAAATGCTTGCTGGTACGTCAGTATTGCATTATTTTTAGACAATAATTTGGAAGTAAATTTATGGCATTGGCTTTTTTTTAAGAATCAAGGTGATGTCCGCTGTAGGTGTTACTGCTCAGCAGCATGCCAAGTAATCTTCTTTCTGAGCTACAAGGTGTGTGTGAGTGTTGAATATTCTCCTTTAGTCACCTTGTACACTTATCCCTACATATGAGGACAAAATACGTGGTTGCATTATCACCTCATGGCAGATTTTAAGCGGGTCCTACCAGTTCGGTGTTCTAGGAATTCTTGAACACATTGGCTGCTTTCAAAAGGTAGGAGTGAAAACAGGCCAAGGAGGAGGCAGGATATTGTGCTTTGTTTGTGTTGAAATAGAGGGGTGGTTCTGCTTGATTTCTGCTTGTGTGTCAGGAGGCCAGTGAACTGTCAAGCCCCGAAGGGTACCTTACAGCTTTAGGCTGCTCCACAGGTGGGTACTGGGCTTGTGGGAAGAAAATTGGATCAGTTATGTGGACAATGCGGGAAGGTATGGATACAACATTGGAAGAAACTAGGACAGATGAAGGTTAAAACCTTCTTTAGATCAAATTTTATTCCTGTACTCTATATGTAAAGTTTATCTAAACTGATAGTTATTTTACTGACTGATAAGTAAGCTTCAAACATAAACTGACAGTTGTCCAAGTGCAGGTTACATAGTGGGAGCGTAGAGGAGAATGCTTTGTGTGGCAACTAATGACAAAAATCAACTTAAATGTTGTATTGTGGAATGTTATTCCAGAGAAAATTAAAATAATTGTTTCAATTTTCTGCTTTTTTGTAGTGGACTGGATATAGTATAGCTAGGTATACTGTAGTGAGTAAGCTCTCTTGGGGAGAAGGAAACTGCTTTTAGGACTTCTGTGATTATTATTAACATGCATTAAAAATACCACAAAACAGCATGTGTCTAATACTGCAGACACATTTGTGGACAGGTCATGCTAAATTTATTTCAGTAAGAATAATTTGTCTGTGTTTAAGTTAAAATTCTTCATTACTTTAAGACTACATTAGTCAGGGTTCAATGTCTAATTGACTTTTTATTGGAGACAGAATAGGCAGGTGTTTGAGTTCTTGTATACAGATGATTTGCTACAGAAGAACTAAACTAGTCAGCATTTTCAGATATTTTAATGGGTATTTATTCTCAATACTATTAAAAACAGAATTAGTGAGATATGACAGAGCCAAATATTCTTTCCAAAATTTTCTTCAAAGTTGGAGTGTCAGTTTGCTTCTTCAAATACCCTCCCTTGAGAGTTCCTAACTGAGAGCAAGCATTTCTTTTCACTTTCAGAATTTATCCTTCTCTCCCTGCTGTTTACAATGACCTGCCCAGGACTCATAAAACAAGACTTGTCACATACATCTTTTGCTTCATACTCCTTGTTCCTAGGGTCTTGCTGTTTAGCTGCTGTAACCTCTGCTCCCTCACGATCCCAACATCTCATCCACAGTATCATTAGCTGCTGTAGCCTGCTGAGCTTGGCACTTTGTTGATCTTCCTGCTAAAGCTCCAGCTTCAGCTTCTGTCAGGTATTTTCAGAAATGCAGGAAAAGTCTTTATTTATTAAAGAAAAGCCTTACCCTTGACTGGAGCCTGAAAGCCTGGAAGACGTGCCAGGAAACAAGAATGGGCTTATGGTATCGAGTGATGGGCAGGACCATTTGAAACTTTTGAGGTGTGTGAACACACGCAAGCTCATTCTACCACCAGGTGATTTTGATGGGATTGATTTTTTTGGTCAAGAGGTTTGCATTGCTTCTGGAGGTAGTAAATCTTCACTTGCTGATCTCTGACAAACAAGAATTCTGCCTTCCCAGGCTTTCGTCTTGCGGAGTGTGTAAAGAGGTGCTAGAAACTCCACTTACGAGGATATAGGGTATACCTATCCCTGTATATACACCAATTCTGCTGCAGTAGTCCTCTGCGGGGAGAGTGGAGCAGCACAGGCAGGGAGGTTGTGTGGCTTGAGTGTATTCCTGGTGCAGGCAGCATTAGTTCTACCCTGAGATCAACGGACATGATGGTAGAGGCATAATGGGGATGAGTGACGGGGCTGCACTGGTGATGTATCCTGGTGGCACAGCACAGGGTACAAGGATTACTTTTATGGCTGCTACAACAGTGTGAGCATCTGATAACTCTGCGGTCATGTCTTGAGCGTGACCTAGTTACTGGTGTATTGCCCACTATTAGCGTAATTCTGAAAAGCAGGAAACTGAATTTCTTCCTAAATAATTTCAGTTAGAAATGAAGCATTAAATACATGATTTTGTTTAGGCACAATCTGTAGATGAATGTAGTAGAAACAAAGACAAACATTGCTACAGGAATTAGAGTTTAAACTAGATGTAATACAACTGTGAGCTGGGCATTTAGAATTGATTTTAATGTGAAATCTGTTTCTTCTGTGAAATGTAGGCTTCCTGATTTTCTGTTAGTTTGAGAACTTTTTTTTTTTTAGGTTTTTCATGTTCACATGGTCTTGGAGCTGAGAATTCAAAGAATATTGGAATAATGCAGATGACTGATAATCTTTTCTCAAACCTTTCATTGAAAGTCTGATTTAGAAGCTTGTCAATCTGTTAAGTGGCCTTCACAAAGGACATACAGCTTTCTCCAATAAGATTAAAGATACTTTCTCTAATTTGTTGGATATTCTACCCTTCAGGTTACCCATAAAAGGAGCAAGGGGAAAGGCAAGAAAACTGCCTGTAATTTTTAATTTTTATTTTGAGATTTGAGTATATCTAGACTGCCTGTTTATATGAAATTGTTTATCATGGCTTTTGTGTAGGAAGTCAAACAATTTTGGAAACATGCCATTTTGTCTTGTGACAGCTTCTTTTATAGAACTATTATTTTTAATACTGAAAAAAGGAAGCTGTATCCTGTCTTGTACAACATTTTGCATTATGGTAGTGGGGAAAGTATTTCTTACTGTGCTGTAAGAGGTGAATTAGCATACTTTTGTCCAAAACCTAAGAAAGTTAAAATACTAAGTTTCCACATATGCTGATATGTGGTTACTAAAACAAAGTATTTTGTTTGTTCCTGGTAAACAGTCCTTATTAATAAAAAATCTTCTACCAGAAGATGGAAATAATTGGAAATAATTATTTGATGTTTTTTGTTTAATAAACGTGGATTGTAGTAAGTGTGTATGGGTTTGTAGACAACAAAGATTACTGTTCTAGGAGTTTGATACTGACTCTGAGTCAAGGATTGCAGAAACTTTAAAACAGTGCATAAAGAATTGAATTTATTTGTAAATTACTGAGTTCTTCCTTTTCCTGAGAAAGGTGAAGCTACTGGGTTCTGCCTGGATAATTGTTAACAATACTAGTATATTACATAGCTGCTTCACCCCAGTGTAAAACCATTCCATGATTTATAACACAAGGCTTGTCTCTGTCCATATTGCCAATTTAAGATATCATAACATGGCAAGATTAACTGCTATGAAGATTTATTCTTACTGCTTTGTCTGAAAAGATACTACCAACATTCTGAAATTCAAATATCTTGAATGCAAAGGAAGAGGATAAGGAAAAAGTTTTAAAAGTTTGACTTAATGTTTTGACTTTATGAAAAGCAGGCTTACTTGAGGTGGTCTAATAGGTTTGGGTAGGCTAGGGCAAGGAAAAGGGAGAGCACAAGTTGCGTTAATTGGAATTAATTACAGAATTCTTAGAGTTATTTTCATTTTTTTTTTCCAAATTCTGATACAATCTCTCCATTTTTTTTCCCTGCCAGTATCCCCTTGTGTTTGGACTGATCCTTGCATTCTGCTGGTGTTCTTTGGTTTGCTGTAGTCGAATTTATATGGGAATGCATTCAATTTTGGTAAGAAAATAATCCTACTAAACTCTTACTTTAATGTTTTGATTTTATAAACTTCCATCACCCTTAAGTTTTTACAGTGCGGTAAATAAGTGTATATAAATTATTTTAGAATTTTTTATCATATAGCAACAGAATGCTTATATTTCTTCAGCAGAGAAATTGATACAATAGCTAAAAGTGGATGTGAAACTTCTGTGAATTTTATACTTTTCTTTCATAAACTCAATCTAGAGTTGAAACTTAGCTGATGTTTAATAGCAGTTTTAGTGCAGAAATTGATGACCGCACTAAAGCGTATGTGAAGTTTTCCTCCACAGAGTGGAAATAATTTTGCAGGATCAGAGTGGCTGTTAATGTCTACTCAGGTTCCACGTCAGCTGCTCAAAGCACATGTGTTTGAGTGCCATGCTAAACGCTAGGGTTTCACTTACCAAAGTTTCTAAAGAACCAAATAACAAAGTTGCCATCTGTCAAGAACAGACTTATTTATTAAAAAGGATTAAGAAAAAATTAAACTGAAACACAAATGCTTGCAATGTAAAAATGGGAAAACAGGAACACTACAAAATGGTAATTGGAATGTAAGACCATTAATAAGGATGGCTAAAGAGGTTTTTGAGGATTGCTTCCTAGAAGGAGAAAAGCTAACAGAAAGCAGTAAGCTTGGTAGTGAGTAGTAAAGCTGGTAGATGAACACAGTGTAGAAGCATGTGAAAATAAGGCAGCTCAGAAAAGCTGAATGACGTATTTGCATTAGTGATTAGGAAGCTTCCCAAGTCAGAACCACTTGTGTGGAGGATGATGAGCGGGTATTTCAGTTGACAGGTAATGTCTTAGAACAAAATCATGCAACAAATAGCGATGCATCACTAGGTTATTCAGCAGTTTCTTACCTGAATTCTCTGTAGTGTGAGTGAATACAATTAATCATGTAATGAATGAATACAATTAACCATGTTACCTGTAATATAAATCAAGCGTAGTACCTAAGACAGGGGCAGGTAGGGTGGCAAATATGGCAGAAGGTGCTGCTGAGGTTGATTCTGAAATAAGCAAATCTGATTTTCATATCAGTCAATTGTATTAGAGCTTTTATCAAGCATTCAATTAGTGGGAGTGAAAAAAAAAAGATTCACTGAAGATGGAGCAATGAAATACTGCTGACGAAAGTCCCACCTCCTGGCGCATATGGAAAAGCTGATAAGCATGAGAATGAAGGTGATCTGGTTTCTAGTGCTTGGATTTCTAAAAAGCTTTCAACAGATTCCTTTTTAACAACTAAAGGTGACTGTAGTTGCAGATAATTCTGTGCAACTGAGTGAATAATCAGTGGTAACTGAAATTAAGTGATAAATATAAAAATAATTAAGAGTAACCTTTTAATTAAGAAAAGACATTTTTAAAACAATAATAAAACTGCAAATCAAGTATGAAGCCACAGAAGTTACCTCTTCCTCTGCTTTAATAGTTGGAAATAGTTCTCCATTCTTGTAGTGTTAATTCTTAAGCTGGAGTGGAAAGTCTAAGCTGCTGTAATGCCTAACTGCAGTGGTCCTTGACTGCCTTAGCAGCTGTTGCTGCCAGTGTGCCTGTGTCTTGGCACCCAGGCACTTAGATCCAGCGTTAAGCTGTTCCAGCAAACTTAAGTTGGCAGAACTTGCTTAGCTGGGCTAGCTTTGTGCTGACTGTAGGCTGGAGTGCCCCAGTCCTGGACAAAGGAGCACTGTAGCCAGCAGATAGGTAGATCTACAACTTTGATCATGGATGATTTGATCGTAGCTTTATTCATGATCATGCATCATCTGATTGTGATGGTGATGTCCTGTTAATAGTTGATCAAATGCAATTCCTTACCTTATCTTTAACATTAAAAAGAATTTAATCTTGTATGGTAAATGAGAAAAGTGGGAATCCACAAGTCGCTTTTAGCAACAGAGTAACTAGGGTTGTCTTCTTGCTAATGTAACTTAAATTATTTTTTTAAATAATTATTACACTGAAACCATATCTTTCTCTCTCTTCAACAGGATGTTATTGCTGGATTTCTGTATGCTATTCTCATCTTGGTTGTCTTCCATCCTGTTGTGGACGTGATTGATAACTTCAACTTAACTTACAAATATGCACCTTTAATTATCATCAGTCTCCATTTAGCCCTGGGCATCTTCTCTTTTACTCTAGACACCTGGAGCACATCGCGAGGAGACACAGCTCAGATACTGGGCTGTGGTGCTGGAGTAGCCTGTGGCTCTCATGTTAACTACATAATGGGTCTAAAGCTAGATCCTCCTCCCAATACCTTACCTTTATCTCTTTCCTCCCTCACTGTGACTGTGTTTGGAAAAGCCATATTGCGGTTGTTGATTGGAGTAATAGTTCTGTTGTTAACAAGAGTGGCAATGAAAAAAGCCACTATTCCACTGGCATGTAAAATATTTCACATACCACATGATGATGTACGGAAAGCAAGACAACGCATGGAAGTTGAGCTCCCATATCGCTATATTACGTATGGAATGGTTGGATTCTCCCTCATGTTTATTGTTCCTTGCCTCTTCCATTTTACTGGTCTTTCTTGATGCAGTTTTATCACTTTAAATAACGAGAACAGGGCTAGTTGCTTTCTGAAAAGGTGCACTAGTTTGCTAAGGGAAGGCCAGTGAGCTTGGCTTTAGCAGGGTCTTCACTTTAACAGCAATACATAGCAGGCAAAGCATTTAAAGAACATTGCACATCTTTGGGTATGGTATGGGGCCAGAAGTCAAATATCAGTCCATGAGAAGTGCTGAACTCTATAAATGCTATGTCTAGATTTATTGCTGTAGCAAAGTCTGTGTGTTTGTTATGCAATGAATGTATTTGGAATGTCTGTCGTACTGCACCTGTATACATTGAAATTTTGACAGGCACATCAGAAAGCTCCATTCATGATCTGTTTGCCATTTCATAGTAATTTAAGTTGTTGGACCGTAGACTGCTAAATTTGCTTTCCTCTTATTTCCCAAAGCCCTGCTTAAAGATGTTTCAGCTAATAAGCATTTCTAATGGACCAAACTTGTAATGAGGCTGAATTTTTCTAAAAAAAAAAAAAAAAAAAAAAACAACAAAAAAAAAAAACAACAACAACAAAGCAGAAGCCTTTTTCTTTAGCCCCATCTACAAAGTGAAATATCTGGATTGGCATTGGTAGATATCCCTAGAGTATGCATGATTCAGGTACTGTATTTTATAGTTTAACTGTGCCTTTCTGTTGCTAAAGTAAGAAATGCCATATATACTGTGATGTATTTAAAATCCTACATAATTAGGCATATATTTTTAAATTAGATTGTCCACGTTGCTAGCATGGTTCAAGTTGACTGAAATATTCAGTTTAGCCTGATCAAAATTGCATAAATGAAATGACCCATCATGTCCTTAAGCTCAAGATGATGTAAATGGACAATAATCCCTTTTGTAAGTATTTTTAATGTGTATTGTAAGTTACTGGAAGAGGATATATTTTTTCTGGAGATTGTTTGTACAGTGGACAGATATTAAAAATTATCTAAACATATAAACAATAAAACCACCCAATTCCCCAAAGAAATGGGCCTCACTTATTCCAAACTAATTTAGAAAGACCCTTGTTTTTAGATATTTGCTTAGAAAATATAATCCTTGTTCTAGCAAAAAAAGTATTTTTATTCATTGACATAGTATATTTAAAGGTGATAATCACTTTTACCCAACTTCCATAGCTATAAGATAATATAATGATCAAATTAAATTTTTAATCATTCTGATAGGCAGACTGTGAGCAGTCAAGACAGTATGGTCAATCCATATCTAAATTTTATTGAATTATTATGCACTTTCCAGCTTTTCATGATCCTTCTTCCAGTCATGAGTAGAATATGACCCTTCAATTGTAATTTTATGTGCCTCTTTTGGTGTTTCATTTTGTCTATGTTAATGCGTTGCCTAATCTATTCCTTCCATGTCAGGAACTGTCATATTGCAGCAAGACCTGTTTTATTGTCTGGCCAGACATGAATTACTTAGTTTTGTGTTGTACATTTTTTCAGGAACAACATAATTTGGTTGGGAAGTACAGTGATTAGATAGAGTACAAAACTTACATTTTTTGTAAACCATATTTGGAATTGGAAGGGTTTTTGTATTGGAGCTCATGTCTCCAAACTGTTAATATGTAAATTAACAATATTAACTTTGTATCTCTTTCCTCAAAGCAAAGTCATGGTACGTTGGCATTAGATGATGTGAAAAGCTGACTTTTCTGATGCGTTTCTTCAGTGCATTCAGAATGCACCAGTACGAATGTATTCAAAAGAACTGATAGTGTGTTAAACAACTTCTGTAGCTGAAAAGAAACTTTGTAGAAAACGGTTATCTTGTTTCAGTGCATATTTCTGGATTTGATTTTTCTATCTGTTCTTCTTTTGAAGTTTAATGCTGAATGTGCAGTAAAAGGTAAATTGGTTTCCAGGGTTTTGAGGGATGGATTTCTACTGATTTGGCTTTGTACACTAAAATAGTCATTAAATAAATAGCTGGGGGGAATGTACACAAAATGCCTTACACTTAAAGCCCTGCACAAATGGTGTAGTTCCAATTATATTAAATTAGTCTGAAGACTGCTGAAATAATAGGGTAACTTTCTCTGAAATTTAGGGCATATTCTCCTGAAATATCCTAGCTTTACAGTTTATAGCGAAGAATGTTTAAATTCTAGCACAGAAGGGACAAGTGAGCAAAACTAATGTTTTAAGGTACATCAACTTCTGCGAACTTCTAGTTTACAGCATAAGAGTGTTCTTACAGCTGTCTTTTCTAGCTGTGCTTGCTCTGTTGTACTATTAATGGCAAAGAAAATCTAGTGTGGAAGATCAAGAATGGGTGGAAAAAATCGTATGCAGGTAGGGCTTTCAACAGGCTAAGGAAAATTGCACTGTAGCTTATTCTACTGTTACTCATAAATAAATATTTTATATTTTTATACATTACATTGGGTATCTTCAAAATGTCATGTTCCACATACCACATATTCTAATATACAGGAAATGTGTGTCAGAATGTTTATACAGGACCTTTACAACCCTGTCTCTAAGACTGCACCTACTTTACTGAAGTTTACATGAAAAAGTTTTACTATTCTATTTTCATGTTTTATAAGGGACTAGGTTCAAGAGGGCAGTTTAGCACAAAATATCATGCAATATTAACACTGTTATAGAATAAAGAATTGCAGAAATTCAGAAATTTAAAAATCCAACTTAAATATTTGTATTTTAGTATGTTTTTGTTTAATAATAAGCTAAGACTCTTTCAAATCAGGCATAAAAATAAAGCAGGTGAAACTGGAGCACTTTCTTTGCCCTAAGTTATTCCTGGATATGAAAAATGTTTCTAGTATGAGCATCAGCTGCTACCAAATTATTTATAAATAAATTTAACATAGCCTTACCAGGTAGTTTAAATGTCTTTTCAGAAGGACAATACACTTGAGACCTTTCATGAAGTAGTGCAAAAACGTACTGTGTCACTGCTGGTGAACTTCCTCAGTTCCAGGCTGTATAGTCCTGAAGAGAGAAATGCCACTACTTTATAGAAGCAGATATAGGTACACATTTATTCCAGAAAGCTATGAGTTAAATTTGTCTTACTTGATCAGTGTAGGAAATAAAACCTGAAACTAACAGTCACATAGAGTGTAATTTGGCACAAAATTCTGTTTTCCAAGAGGCTGAAGAGACTCGAGTTAGTCTTAGACTGCCTTAAACATAGGAGCAGGATTTTTTCTGACCTGGGCCTCCAACAGGACTAACAAATGCATTGCATCTTGGGTAAGTTTTAGAATCTATTATTGGGAAAAAAAAATAGCTACTAATTTTGCTTCCCATACCGTGAACTAGCATTGAAGTGTCTTTCTCCTGTGTGATCACCTATGAAGCTCTTCAGCCTCTGATCCCATTTGCCTTACTAACTACCTTGCAAATTGTGGGGGTGAAGGGGGAGGTGGAGAAGCCATTTTAAGGTAAATTGGCAAACCAAAGGGAGTTGTATTTTGTTTATTTACTTGGAAATTTTTTCTAACTTATGTACAGCTTATCTTCTGAAAAAAAAAGATGCATTTCTTTTAAAATGGCAACTCTAATGTGGTATGTGGCTTTTTTTTTGTTTACCAGAACAGTGTTAAATTGTCTGGATTTTAAAAGCTATTATGTTTCCCTTTGCTACTAGTTTTTATTACTGCTTTCAGTATTTTTTACTCCATTTCTTGCTTATTTCCTAGGGAGCGTCCTGAACTTTTTGTGATTGCTACTTAGGTGAAGATTGTAATTTTGAACTTGTAAATACTTAAGGGCTGTTAGTGGCTGTCAGCTGCTCAAATACATAAAAACAAACTTTGCATGCTGTAAGTAAATACATCTGTTGTGCTAAAAGTTGTTTCTATATCAGTATTTGCTTTCTCAATACAAAATTGAGATTTTTTTTGCATACAATACATAAGATATTTAATAATTCAATGGCATGAAGGGGCATTGCTGTCTAACTCCCATTAGCTTTACTGGGAGTTCTGCACCTAGTTCCTTCCATAGTACATTAAGAGTGAACCCTGAAGGTCATGTCCATGCTCCAACGTGTGTACAGGCGTCAATGTGTGTGGAGGGACTTGCCTTTGAAGGTGTAAATGTAATATCCTTGCTTTTGAGGTCTGAGAGATTGTTCTTTTTAAAATCATACTTAGCCCAGTTTTTACAAGACAAAGGGCTTAACTTGGAAGCTGTTTCTTAGTAGCTGGAACTGGCTGTATATTTGCAACACTTAATTGATGTTTTCCCTTCTCTATCATAGTTGTGCTGAATGCTAAGATCCCAGAATAACGTTAGTAGATAAAATGATGACGGGAGAACTGATTTCTTGGGGTATTGTGACTCAACTTGCTGTAATTGATTCTTGGGTGTTTTTTTGGTCTAATGTAAAATGTTTCTAGGTTATACAATTTACTGCTATATTCTACAAATTACTTTGAGGATACTTTGATTTTTGTGGGAGGAAGTCTTGTTGAATGACTTAATGCTAGAACTTTATTCTAGTGGAAAGCTTAAGTGGCCTTTTTGTTTGAGCAAAAATATATAAGCCTGTTTTAAAATTTACTGTAAATACCATATTTGTCAAATTGACAGATTAGTTGGGTCACTAATGTTTTTTCTTCCTATAATATTTACTGAAACAAAGGCAAACAAAGCTTAATTTGGAAATAAAGTGTGATATTGTGTGGCAGAGAGGATATAGCTCTTCAGGTGTTCTCTAAAAAGCAAATATCATATGCTGTAGTCGAAGCAAATTTAACTATGCATTAGAAAAATTTCTTTGCACTCCATCCTGCACCAGAAATAATTTCCATGCTGGTGAGTCTTTAACAAAGCGAAGCAAAGGAATATGTGCTTGCAGTGTATAATTAGTAACTGTTCCTGTAGGATCAAAGGAGAATAGAGGGCATATAGGAGAATATTACCATAAAGATATACTGACCAGTAAGAGTAAATAAAAAGTCGTATTGAGTTGGAGTAAT